TACTTTATTCTCTGATTTATAATTCGATTTGGCAACATCGCAAAATTACATTCAATTGGGTTAATGACTACTATGTTATTTTATATGCTTTAAAAACATGGAGGTAACTCCATGTTTAAAAGCATCAAAAGCTTCTTGGTCTCGAGAGAAATCCGCTATTAATTTAAGATTAGATAAATTACATATCTCATCTGCTCGTTTACTCAAGGGTTACCCAGTGTATATATTAAAATATTATTAAACGAAGTTGAACTATCTCGGGTAGCAACTCGGAAAACATGTAACTCTAGTGTAAAATCCTGCGGTAATGTATTTGTAATAATATATCAAAAACACATTAACATTTAAAAGGGATGAAATAAGAAGTTACTAAATTTTGGCACGTCGTAGATTAATTATCATGTTATTGTGTCAGGTAATTTTAAATTTGTCAATTTTAAAAATTTTTATATTTTGATACTTCCAAAATTTTTATAAGTATTCAACAAAATGATGAAATGATTTAGTGATCAATCAAAAACTTTTAATTCCTATTTTAAGAAACACCAATTTGTGAGGCTCTTGGAAAGAGGTACAATCAAATGGCTGCAGAAGCATAAAATATTTCGCAAAAACTAGCTAAACCAACAAATTCTGATAGAGTATGTGAAAATAATGTAAATAAATAATGTGAATAATAAAAGTAAGCCAAAGTAAAACAAATTTCAATTCTTTAATATTAAGTACATTGAGGCAAGTTATATACAAGATGTACGTAGATGCACAACATGTAACAATGAAATCGTTACATACACGATTTTCGGAAGAAATGCCTGATGTGAAATGTTCTGCACGGTCAATTAAAACATGGATTTGCTTTAAAAGAAGTAACAACAGATAAGGATTACACTATCCCAAAAACAGTCTGACATTGTTTTCCATGAAGACATTAGAAAGGTTATGCGAAAGGTACATAAGGGATGCGATGATTACACCACTACATCCAAACCAAAATGCATACATTCCAGGCAGATCCACTGATTCAGCCCTTCATCTAGTTGCTGGCCGGATAGAGAGATCCCTGGACAATAAGGAGTCCGCCTTGTGTTTTCATAGACATAGAAGGTGCTTTTGAAAAAACCACCTTCCCTAAGATAATACACTCACTAACCAACAGAAATGTTCTACAGATGGTTAGGTGGATACATAACATGCTCTCAAAGCGAGCAGTAAACGTAAGTGTAAAAGATGTAAATATAAGAGGCTTGGTTGCGAGGGTATGTCCACAGGGAGGGGTGCTATTACCTCTACTGTGGAACATGGTCCTGGATACCCTCATCAGCCGCCTCAATATTGACAGTCACTACACAATAGCATATGAAGATGACCTGGTCATTCTGAAAACATACTCTGTGAAAGAATGCATGTAGCTCTCAAAATTTTAAAACAGTTGGTGTAAGGACCATTCACTGTCTATCAATCCTAAAGCCTTGGTTTCTTTGAACACTCCGTCGCGGTGAGCGGATAGTCCGTCGACCGCTAGGGATAGCGATTTTCGCCCGAGGTGGTTTGTTAAATATAAAAAATGGAACCTTCTCTATGTTTGTACGTGCTGTTTACTAAAATGGACGCAAATAAATTGTTTGAGCTGTTATTATTGTTGAAAGAGAAAGAACAAGAGGAACTGGCCATTGCAACCTTCAAAGTTTCCAATAAGCCAGTGGATAAGTTGTTTTTTATCGCGATACAGAAGGTGCCTTTAATATCACTGTGCAGCGGAGGCTTTTTGGACATGAAACCAAATTTATGGAGTATTTTAGACTTTCTACAGATCTTGTTGAATTTGTGTTTTATGAAGGACAACATTTCCAAGAAACCTAAAAATAAAGACATTATGTCATCTGTATGTGTGAATTTGTCACTCATTGTTTTAAAAATAATAACAATATAGTCTCCGCACACGCCGACGATTCCGCTGATATCAAACTCAACAGATATGAACCGACTCGTCGCGACAAATCAGCGGCATGACGCCGTCCTGCTCAGCTAAGCAATTTCAAGAAAACCATTCCCATTTAAATACTCTGGTTGGATAAAATCGTCAAAACGCGACGGTCGACGGAGTGTTTAAAGAAACCAAGGCTTAAGAAGACTGAAATGGTCCTTTTCACAAGGAAAAGGGTAAAAATAAAATTAAAACGTCCAGAACTCCTAAACACAAAACTTAACTTTGCAACAGAGGTGAAGTACTTAGGTCTTACCTTTGACAGAAAGTTAACATGGAACTCGCATTTAGAAAACAGAGTCAAAAGAGCATACATTGCTTATGAACAATGCCGCCGAACCGTGGGGCGCATCTGGGGTTTCTCCCTCAGAGTCGTGGCATGGACTTACACGGCTATCATAAGACCAATGCAGTTGTCTAAGTACCAAAAACCCAAAAATTAACAGCTAAGAGTAAACTAGAAAAAATTCAAAGAATAGTATGTCTCAACATAACAGGAGCCATGTAAACAACACCAACCAGAGCCATGGAAGTCATTCTTAGTCTCACTCCCCTTGATATTTAGATCGAGGAGGTTGCTCCATCAACAACGTGGTCACCTTAAGATAGATCAAAGGTCACGCCACATCGAAAGGTAAACGTCTTGCTGATTCACTGGCCAAGAAAGCAGCCAGCCAAATGCTTTTTGGACCTGGCCCTTCTATTGGCCTGACAAAATCGGTAGTGACAGACCTAATTAGAACATTCCCTTGTGAAATTCAAAGAAAGATGGGATGAAACAAGAAACTGCAGAGTTGCCAGTGAGCTATTAAGTTATCCTTGCAACACTGCAGCAAACAAATACTTGACTATGACTAAACAGAATCTGCGCCTAGTCACAGGCATTCTGACTGGTCGTTGCCAAGTACCGAAGCATCTCCATATCATGGGGCTGTCAGAATCTGCACTATGCAGAGAGTGCGAACAAAAAGATGGGACCATCGAGCATATCCTCTACGATTGCTCGACGCTCTCATTTATTATATTTGTGTTTGGCGAGTATCGGCTAACACCGGCCGATATAAGAGAAGCACTTTTTGGCGACGTTGTCAACTACATCAAATCTGTAGGCTGGCTCACGAGCTAGCAGGTGGGTGCACAATGAGCCTAGTGAGGCCTAAGTGCCGTGGGGGTAACCCACGCTTCACACGTTACACATATAAAACAACAGATAATTTTTTTTGGAACGAACATTGATTCAGTTAAAAAAAGTGACTTCCTGTATTCATGTAAACGTATGATTATAAGTAGTACCAATTTTTAATAAACTTGTCTTGATAAAGCTGGCAGGATATATTTTAAATTATATTGACCCATTATTTTGAATTTGACAGTTTTAACGTCAGCTCCCACTACTGGGTAGTAGTACATGTTGTTTATGTCCCTCTCCAAATAGAAAGTGAAAACACGACATGGTCCTTCTTGCAGTCAGGTGAGGGACTATAAATGTTTTTATGCATATCATTATTTCTTTATTGATATCTATTTTACTGTAATTTGATTATATTAGATCCCATTATCCAACGTGAATATTAATACGAAGCAATTAATTATTAGTTTTATTAAAAGAAAACATCCTCAAAGATTTAAAATAACTTCACAAAAATGCATCGTTGTTCGCCTTTATTCAATTCTTAAACTAGTAGAGGTAACATTTTTCAATTTTTGTAGAATATTGCGAATATTTTTTCGTCTTCAACTACTGTAGTCGACTTATGGATTTTCAACCATTGCATCGAGAATAATAACTTCACTCAAGTGTTCTCCGTAATATAACAGCGTCCACTTTTGAAGAGTCACTTTTCTGAGCAGCCTCTTTAAACTTTTGAAATATTGCTACGTGTAATGAAATATTTATTGTCATTTTTCGTTGTACATTCTTCATCTGAAATTATATCAAATACACGTGTGGGTAATATATATGTTCCAACATATAACTTATGTAATGTTACAAAACTATAAGAATCAACTCAAATCAAAGTATAGTCTCTAATAGAAGATGCTTATTTAATAGTACAGAAGTAAATACCTACGTGTAAATACCTACGTGTAATTTCGTGAGAACTTTTTATAAGGTTCTGTTTTTATGAAATCGCATGCTTGTACAGAAGCGTATTCAGGTTGACTGACGGTTAAAAATATGTATATTTTTATCAGCAAACACATTGGATAGTAACTGGTTGTGATAAGGTGTACTTGGATCTTCTCAGATAATCATGTGATTTGCGATTTAAAAATATCAGTAAAACGGCACTTTAATTAAAGAAAATTTAAATATTTAAATCAAAAAAGTTGGTATTCAAAATTAATCTAAAACATTCAGGTAGATACGCTTCAGAAGAATGTCTGCAACTTGGTTGGCCATTGCTGAAGCGGATATTAATCTTTTAAAACGCCATGGTGGCTGGAAGAGTTCAATTTTATTCAATGTTAAACTTAAATAATTTTATGATGATACAAGAGGTCGAATTATTTGTACATGTACTGCACCAAGGCCAAGATAAATCTTCCAATAATACAAATACACCTTTAAAAATTTCAGGTATGAAATATTCTTGTTTAAATTATACAGAACTTAAATACCTATTTCATAAAATATATGAATTTGAAAAGTGTTTATTTAGAGTACTGAAAAGTAAAGTAATGACCTTAAGTATTATTTCCTTAACTCAAAGTAATAATGTAAAGTGCCCTTTTCCAGATAAGTATGAAATTAGAAAATAAAAAATATCCAACAAGTACAAGTATTAAAAGTTATTTTTAAAAAACCGACTTCAAAATCGTGCAGATGCCGTCGCCACATCTTACCCAAATTTATATGTACCTCTGAAGTACCCCCTTTCTAACAAAAAAAGAATCATTGAAATTGGACACCTTGTTAAAGAATTATCGCTGAACATACATAAAAAAAAATATTACGACGAATTGAGAACCTCCTCCTTTTTTGAGGTCGGTAGAAAAATTAAATCATACATACTGTTGCATCTATTGGGAGCTTGTTCATAAATTCCTGCGTTATGTTCCATTTTCCAATGCTGTAATACAGGGTTCCTTGGAAATTATCGCCAGCATTCAATAAAATTGACTTCGGCTTCTTTTCAAAAAGGGTAGTGATTTGTTTGTACAGTCTTGAAAATCCTCCAATACATTCTGTTTCGTTTTTGCAGGTGCCGCCATTTGAGTTGGTCTGCTGGAATCTGAAATAGGTAAGTATTTATTATTAGATTTTATTTTGTTTACAAGGTGAGTCACCGAAAACTTTCCGTTTAGGTTTTTCGTATTGATGCAGAAACAATGAAACGCTCGTATAGGTCGATTTTAGTTTGGAGGGCACCAATTAACTCACCATTAGAGATAATCTTTGTAAAACTTAAACTACACGGTACCACAATCATTATTAATTCAACTTATATTTCACCGGGTTCAAATGCTAAAGTTTACAGGCAATACCTAGATTTATTAGGTAGTTTAGATACCTTGTATAAATGGCACATCTTTTCAATTTTCTAATAAAAATGATATAATACAATGTCTTTGTTAATGGCTACTTATAATCTAAAGTCTAACAACAATTGTCTTAACGAGGATCAGAAAACTCTAGATTTGGTGCTTGGGAATATGAATTTGAATATGGAGGAGGAAGTAGAACCTTTAGTTTCCATAGACAAAAAACATCCCTCTCTGATAATTAAAATAGAAGTTTAAAAAAGTAAAAGACTCACACAAACAATAATCTTGAAAATAGATATAATTATAAAAACGCTGATTTCAGCTTACTATGCAAACTATTAAGGGATTTCGATTGGTCAAAAATTGAACACTCCGAAAAGGTTGATGATTCTGTCAAATATTTTTACCAGGTTTTATGTGAAATGCTTGACATAAGTGTACCAAAGTTTACTAATAGACTCCAACCACGTCGCAAACACTTTCCGCCATGGTTCACGGAAGAAATAAATATTGACATAAAGTTCAAAGAATTTTTTAGAAAAAGAAAACATCTATCGAAATATTACTTAAGTAAATTAAAAAAAAAAAAAAAAATAGGGCAGACCTCACATTTAAAATAAGGCATCGCACAATAATTATATACAAAATAGCAGAACTGTATTAATCGGGACCCCACGCTTTTTTGGAAATTTTTTAAAGATAAGAAGTCCAACAATATGTCCGAATCAAGTTTTATTATAAATAATAGGGAAATGTTTGACAAAAAAATAATCGCAGATAATCCGATTATTTCAGTTCAGTGTATAATAATGATTCAAACTATAACTTTTTAGATATCAACGACTTGACTAAATAATGGAACGTAAATTTCTATCAAAATATATACTTTGATCAAATAACTGTCAAAGACAGCGTTTTGTAAGTTAAAACCGAAAACGACAGCGGGTCCTGATAACATTCCTTGTTTACCTTAAAAGCTTGTAAAGACTACATAATATACCCTTTGCTGGTAATCTACAATGAGTCTCTTAAAACATCTACATTTTCTAGTGAATTTAAGAGAACTAGATTGACACCTATTTTTAAAAAGGGCGGTAATAATAAAATAGATAATTATCGTCCCATAGCCATATTAAATTATACAGCGAAACTGTGAATTTGTAATATGTGATAAACTATATGCCCACTTTCAAAAATACTTATCAACCGAAGTGCACGGATTTTGTCGTAAAAAAATCTGTAGATACAAATTTATTAACTTTCAGCAATAAAATATCAAAATGTGTTAATTCTCGTGAACAAGCCGATTGTATTTATACTGATTTCAAGAAAACCTCTGATATGGTAAATCACAATATTCTCCTAGAAAAATTGAAATATTATGGTCTTAGCGATCACCTGATAAAATTCTTTTCGTTATATCTAAAGCTGAGGTCTTAGTACGTAATGTTTGGTGGTGAAGTATTTCATACAATCCTTGCAGGCTTTGGTGTCCCTCAGAGCTCCAATTTAGGCCCTCTACTTTTTTTAATATTTGTCAATAATCTACCTCTACGTATTACATCAGACTGCGTGATGTATGCAGATGATCTAAAAGTTTTTAAAAAAATATCCACCCTTAATGATTATCTAGATCTTCAAAATGACTTAGACTCAATTTCGGATTGGTCATTAGAAAATAAATTACTTTTTAATCTTTCTTTAAAGTTGAAGGTGGTAGCCATGTGTGAGTTATAAGTTCAAAAAAGGTAAATCAAACGAGGGTGGTCCTTAGGATCTCATAAGAGTATTTTATTACGACCGGTTTCGAGGATCAGATCCTCATCATCAGGTAAGGTCTAAAATAGAGAGGAAAAATGAATGAGCTCATAACTAATAAAGTGGGTTTAAACATTTTAATATGAAAGTTTTAATCTTTCCAAATGCAAGGTAATTACATTCAGCATAATTCGTAATCCTCAAAATTGTATCTACACAATGCAAGGATTAGCACTAGAGAAAGTATCAAAAATTACCGATTTGGGAATAGTTTTTCAAAGGAGAATGGGCAATTTTGCCCCACCTTCCAATAGCAGTAAGATATATGCCAGATAAAAGAAATCGGTAAGAAGAACATTTGTTTTTATTATGACTTCTCTCAATTGTCTGTCCGTTCCGAGTTATACAGTGTGTCTGCTTAAGTTGAAACCATATGGATATTTTTTTTAATATTGGTTTTCTGAAAAAAATTATTGTTGATAAGAAGTTTTGCATGGTCCCAAACTTAAAATACAATTATCAGATATTAATTTTTTAAGCCGTATACGGGGTTTGTCAAAAAATATGAATTTTACTCGAGAGTAAAGTACCTTATTTTTTAAAATACAGAAGAATGTTATAGAGTAAAGTTATTTAAAATTAAAGGTTATATCCAAATATGCAAATACAGTCATTTAGCATAAAAATTCACGTTAGGTGATTATTTACGTTTTACATTATAAATTATTTGTAGCTATAAATAATCACCAAACCTGAATTTTAATGCTAAATGGGTATAATTTCATATTTTTAATTCAAAATACCTTTATTTTATAACATTTTCCTGTATTGTAAAAGATAAAGGTACTTTACTATTGAGTAAAATTCATATTTTTTGACAAACCTCGTATACGGCTTAAAAAAATTGATATCTGATGGTTGCATTTTAAGTTTTGGACCATGTAGAACTTTTTATCACATATGAATTTTTTCATAAAACCAATAATAAAAAAGTTTCCCATACGGTTCCAACTTAAGTAGAAACAGTGTATGTGACAAAACACCCAAATCTCGTGGTAAAGAAATGCGAAGTTGCCAAGTTATAGATGATTTAATTTTCATTTTAGTTTAGTTAAAATCAGTTGTGGAGAAACGTTGCCATGGGAACGTTTGTCATGGTGTAATGACTAAACAAAAATCCAAATCCTGTGGTGAGGAAATGCGTAGTTACAAAGTTATATTATTATTAAACTTTAGTTTAGCTGTAATTAGTTATGGGGAAACTGTTGCCATAGGGAGACTTATCATGGTAACGACTAAACAAAAAACCAAATTCAGTGGTATGGAAATGCATAGTTGCCAACTTATAGATAATTTAATTAAACTTTCGCTGAAATCAGTTTCGGAACAACTGTTGCCATAGGGACACTTGTCATTGTAACAACTAAACAAAAACTTAAATCTCGAATTGAAAAAATGCATAGTTGCCAAATTATAGATGATATAATCTAACTTTAGTTTAGCTGAAAGGCATTTTTCATGCAAGCCATGTACTAGCTAGCATGATAATTGCCTTCTACTTATTACGTTCATTTTGCATTGATATTATATTGTGCTAAGTAATTAAAACGGTTGTAATGTTTAAAATTCTTAATGTTAATACTTTTTAGGTAGAAACTTTTTGAAGCACACTGTAAATTCCAAAATATTTTTTAATTAGAGCTCCAACATATAATCATCTTTCTGTATAAAAGTAATTTGAAAAAAATCATGTCATAGTCTGGACCAATGCATATAGGATGCCCCCCACCCTGTATGTGTTACAAATGGCATTATATTCGTTCTAATGTTAATGGGGTAATAATATTTATGATTGTATTATTGTGTTAGTCCATTACCTTGGTCTTAAACCATTGGTCCCGGTCCGTTGGAGAGCATATGTTAGGCTGTGTAACCAACACGAAGAGGCCATTTGATAAGGGATACACGTGGCGGGTAAAATCCTTGACAGGATCTTATGATATACCCGGGTATTATAATTGTTTATATATTAATAATAAGTAATAATTACTATTATTTTCCTGTGATAAGCACTACAATAACAGAATATAAGCACCTGGCCTATCTTGCAATTAGTTAAATTTGGGATGGTATAACTCGGAACGGACAAGTAATTGAGATGAGTCGTAATGAAGAAAAATGTTTTCCTTAAAAAGATCTTTCAATTGATCCTTATCAACTTATCCTTATTGGAGGTGGGGCAATGTCCCATACATTTTTGCCCATTGTCTTTTGATGAGCATATCCATAATATTACCAAAGAAGCTAACAAATTATTAAGAGTTCTGAAACGTACGACTGGGGACTTTACAGACACATACTCAATTACAAATAATTTTTTTTTCACTCGTTCGTAGTAAATTAGAATATGCATCAACTGTATGGGACCTTACACAACAAAATTTAAAACAAATTTTGGAAAGAATTCAAAATAAATTTATTAAATACTTATATTTCAAAAAGTATCGTACAAGTCCAGACGAGTTTAAAATTGAAAAATTGGAACATAAGCGCTCTATAATTAACCTCGTATTTCTACATAAATTGTTAAATGGATATATAGTCAATATTTATTGAGTCAAATAAAAATCAATGTTTCAGTGGCAGGTATTCGCCCCCGTAAATTAACTTTTCGTGCGAATAATCATGGTCCATTAGAAATATATTGTCTATTATTTAACGTACATTCCGAAGACATTTCTTGCGGTATTTTTGATGTAGCTATAATCACAAACAGAAGGGAACTTACAAAAATTATTAAAGTAACATGATTTTGTAGGATATTCGTGGCTTTCGTGTGGGGTTTGCTAGCGCTCTGATTATTTCAGTATCTCTAGTTATTTTAGCATTTTTTTTTCCTATCTGTATACAGATATAAGGAAAGTATAGGAATCATGATTTTTTTTTCGACCTCGAGTTTCCGACGGATTTTTACGTTTTGAGGTCCCCT